ATTGTCATTAAATTATTCTAATGGATAGAAGTTGATTTTTCTGATCACATTAAAAAATGTGACTGTGATGATGAAAGCAATTTTTTTCTCCTCATGATGATGAAATCAATTTTTTTCAAAGTTTTAAGAGCAAGACCCCAATATAGCCAAAAGCTTAGTAATTAAGACACTTACCTGTAACATGGGAGAGCCTACAAATTAGGTCACATGTGAGTTTGAGCACCCATGAAGTTGATTTTTCTGATCACATTAAAAAATGTGACTGTGATGATGAAAGCAATTTTTTTCTCCTCATGATGATGAAATCAATTTTTTTCAAAGTTTTAAGAGCAAGACCCCAATATAGCCAAAAGCTTAGTAATTAAGACACTTACCTGTAACATGGGAGAGCCTACAAATTAGGTCACATGTGAGTTTGAGCACCCATATCCCAAGCGAGGGCCTTTATTACAAGACTTTGACTACTCAGTCTCTCCTGTTGGAGCTGATGGAGGATCGTAACTACATAATCACTGATCCAGAGTGTGAAAGAGATTGACTGCTTAGCATGGTGGCAAAGATGGTCAGCTGTGAGGGAGAAAATGGGTCTGGAAGCTTCAGTTTCAATCAGCAGTTTGACAAAGAACCCACTTTTGTTAAAATCCTAACCACCTCTAACAATGAGCTGTTGAGATTTTGCTTTCACCACCTGTTTTATTCAAAAATGTATATAATTATCTCAATATACTAGTTTAAAATGGTTAATCCTGGTGAACTGAGGCTCTTTAGTGTTAGAGTGGAAGGAGGAGATTCACTTGTGAAAATCTGGTTTACTTACAACCAAATCCTGCTACCCTTCCCCATGCTAAGACTATAGGGACTGAGTAGTAACAGTCAAGATAAATGAGAAATTAATTTAAATCATGGTATGTGACAGCCCTGGAGAAGGGGAATGAGAGTTATTTTCCGAACTACTGTGACATAGAAGGAGCAGGATCCTTAGTGTTTAAAGGGGAAATTTTCTTCATAGATTTGATAATTCACATTTAACTTGATTAAAATAAATTATAAAAATAAGTATGAGACATTTAGAGCAGCAAAGAGTACTTTACTGGAAACTCACTTGGTCCCATTCCCGAGTTAGTGCCTCCTTCAGATATATCCCAGTTTTTTATCAGTAATCTACAATAAGTATTTGTTGTTCCTAAACACATTTCAGTGTCATTTAAGGGAGTCATGGCAGCTACATCTGATGACAACTGCAAAGTCCTAGAACAATTTGTATAATGGGGGTTCTGAAAGCCATTGAACCAAACTATAAACCCTGTACATGACAGAAGCCACTTCAAACCAGGGGTTTAAAGCACTACAAGCACCCTAGTTCCAGCACTTACGACTTCTTGATGAACACTGTAGGAACAGGGAGAGTCTCTGAGGGTATTTCTACACTGCATTAAATGCAGACAAACGAAATTGCAAATGAAGCACAGATTTGAATTTCCTGTGCTTCATTTGCATAATCGCATCTGGCCACTTTTTCGAAATACCTTATTTTGAAAAAAGAAACGGTGTCTAGATGTGGTTATTTAGAAAGAAAGCCCTTCTTTCAAAATAACCCTTACTCCTTAGGTTTAAGGGTTATTTCGAAAGAAGGGTTTTCTTTCGAAATAACCGCATCTAGACAGCGTTTCATTTATCGAAATAGTATATTTTGAAAAAGCGGCTGGATGTGATTATGCAAATGAAGCATAGGAAATTCAAATCTGCGCTTCCTTTGCAATTTCATTTGTCTGTATTTGCATTCCTCTCTCGAAAAAGGAATGCAGTGTAGACATGCCCTATGAGAGAACTAAATATATGGAGAGAATGTATCAAAATATAGGGAGTTGGGACTGACCTTTTATGATTAAAAGGAGCATTGGTTTTCACAGCTTATTTAGCATATGCATCAGAGTGCACCTCAAATATTTTGTCAGCAATATATCATAGATCTTTTTGAATGAATGGAATAACAATTTGGTCTCAATCTGACCTGCTAGTTATCACTGTTGGTCCATGTCTGACAATAAATAATTGCATTATTTCTTTGTCCGAAAATAGAAGAAACATCTTTTGTATGAGTAGCAGTGCAGAATGGTAGTTTAAAGCAAAACAGTATTTTGCCTATTATTCCAATATCACAATTAGTTATTAATGTACAGTATTAAAGTTGTTCACATTGATCACGGACCTACTGCTCAGTAGTTTACAGGGAAACAGAGGAGGGGAAAATAGAGAAAAAGGAGTGGGGGAAATCTCCATTTCCATCAACACATGAATTTTCCCAGGGATGCCATGTAGTTAAGGCTTGTCTTCTCAGAGTGTATTATTCAAACAATACACAGGACAGTTATTTATTCTGTTTATAGTTAAAGATTAGATTTAGTAATAACTTTGGAAGACAAACCCTATACATTTATTAGCATCTTACTAAGAAAAAAATAGCTTAAGTTCACAACTTATGACTTGCTTTGCTGTCTGCTTATGTGTAAGTACCAGGCACTACCAGAAATACTGTATTACATTTCCTCCAAGAGAGCTCTTTATTCTTGACACATGCATAATACAAATGTAAAATTAGCAGCAGGCTCTTTAAAGACATCTTGTGGAAAAATTCAGTATGAATTAACAATACATCAACAATGAACAAAGATAGTCTTGGATCTTTTTAGATCTGTATGAGTACAGTGGAGAATTTATCTGCAGTTCACATTTTTCATACTTTCCAGAATAAATCTAAGGTTTATGGCTCTTCTAATATTATGAAGATACTTAGCTTTTTTCCCCCGCCAGGAAATTGCTTTTTCCCCCTTTGCTCTCCTGAATAACCTGACATCTTTCAGGAGAATAAATGGTTACAAACCATTCAGATTCAAGTTCTGAGTTTTTAATACCAGAGTGCATATGAAAAGTCCTTTTGTAGAACTAACTCTCAGTAATATTCAATACTAAGTAAAGCAAAGCAAACTCATGTACAGCAAGAGAAACCTTCAATACCTTGAGTAATTTTAGAAGTGGAAACATCAAGGATATTTTCAGTCTTTGGTTTAATTACTTGGAACAATGTAAGGAGGATGTGCTTCAGTCTAGGAAGTAGGAATTACTGCCTGTCATTCTTGAATCCTAAATGACAGTTTAAATTGGACTATAACTGATTTTATCCCTTCCAAAGGATTGCCTGATTAGACCACAGGCTAATCTTTTGACCATAACATAGCTCCTTCTTGCTTGACTTGTCTGCAGTTTAAATTAATATAAATTATTTCCCATATTTACTAAGAAATTAGTGTAAATCTACCACTGCACTGAAAAGTAAAAAACAAACCAGCATTATACCTGAAATCTGAATGATCAGAAAATAAGTGACCAATTTCTTAATGTTCTTTATGCTCAGTAGTCAGACAGGGCAATGGTTTTCAATAAATAAGCCAATGCTTTTGCTGACACCAATTCCATAAAATTGCAAACATTTCTAGGGATATGAAACAGGGAGAGAATGAATCATGGGTTGCTCTTTTTATTTGTTGTAGTCTGTATGTCTGTGCTCTCGAGAATGACATCTATTGTGTTTTCTGCCATGCTAGTTGCAAGGGGATAATTTTGGATTAAGACTGCCACCAGAAACACTGCAGCCATGCTGCTCTCGGGTAGCCTCTCTGCAGTGACAGAAGAGGTTCTTCTGTTGTTGTAGTGATTGTAAATCCACCTCTTCAAGAGGTGGTAGTTAGGTCAGTGGAAGAATTCTTCCATCAACCTTTGTGTCTTCACTAGAGCTTAGGTTCTCATAAGTACACTGCACAGGGCATGACATTTTTCAGCTTTGAGTAATAAAGCTAGCCCAACTTTGCAGCCCAAGTAACCAGAACTAAACTGGAACAATGAATGCAGATTATCGTGTAAGAGGAGATCTGGAGAGAAACATTAAATAGGTATTGTAATGGGTTGGACTCATTAGTGCAGCCCTTTCTGCTAGTCAGTTCAGGAATTAGCTCAGTTTGCCAGCAGAATACCCTCTTCTGGGCATGTCTTGTTAGTTGTCCACTTTGCTGTTTCCACTGTGTCTCTGGACCCATATCACTTCCTGGACTGCAGCATTCTATTCAGGACGCTGTTCTCTAGCCCACCATTATGACCTCTTCCCTTCCAGGGGTAAAAGAAGTCGTCAGTCTGGCCCCATGTCATAGTGACAGACTGCAGTCCCAAGTTTATCCTCTCCCTCAGGGGAAAGTTGCAGTCCTTTATTTGGCTAGGCTCTCCAGCAGATAGTAGGGGGTCAGGGGAACAGGCTTACCCCCTACTCTGGGCTGCAGCCCAGGGACTTCTTCCACTCCCTTTTTTTCCTGGGTCGCTTCCCCATAACCCTTGTGCCCACTCAGCCAAGGTTGCAGTCTAGCAGTCATCACGTCAAATCCACGTAGGAGCCAATCCTTCTACCTTGCTAGTCAAGAAGAGACTGATCTTTGATCTGCTGAGCTACATAACATAAGAATGGCCAAACTGGTTCAGACCAAAGGTCCATTTAGCCCAGTAGCCTGTCTGCTGACAGTGGCCAGGGCCAAGTGCTCCGGAGGGGGTGGACCGAAGACAATGATCAAGTGATTTGTCTCGTGCCATCCATCTCCAGCCTCTAACAAACAGAGGCCAGGGACACCATCCCTACCCCTTGGCTAATAGCCTTTTATGGAACTAACCTCCATGAATTTATCTAGTTTCTCTTTAAACTCTGTTATAGTTCTAGCCTTCACAGCCTCCTCTGGCAAGGAGTTCCACAGGTTGACAATGCGCTGTGTGAAGAACTTTCACTTATTAGTTTTAAACCTGCTACCCATTAATTTCATTTGGTGTCCTCTAGTTCTTATATTATAGGAAATAATAAATAACTTTTCTTTATTCACTCTCTCCACACCACTCATGATTTTATATACCTCTATCATATCCCCCCGCTCAGTCTCCTCTTTTCCAAACTGAAAAGTTCCAGTCACTTTACTAATCGTTTGGGCGTACCATAGTTTTATACAGGGGCAGTAAGATAGTCTGTGTCTTATTTTCTATCCCTTTCTTAATAAGTCCTAACATTCTATTTGCCTTTTTGAACGCCGCAGCACACTGTGTGGACGTTTTCAGAGAACTATTCACGATAACTCCAAGATCTCTTTCCAGATTTGTCGTAGCCAAATTAGCCCCCATCATACTATATATATAGTTGGGGTTATTTTTTCCAACGTGCATTACTTTACACTTATCCACATTAAACTTCATTTGCCATTTTGTTGTCCATTCACTTAGTTTTGTGAGATCTTTTTGAAGTTCTTCACAATCTGCTTCTGTCTTGACTATCT